TAGCATTCGTAAAAAAATGCTAAATGCTCGTGTTACATCGACCTAAATTTTGGTGTACGTTTTTAATCGATTGAACGGTTTATTCGTGATCGTTTCACGAAAATGGAAAATAGGACATCCGTGAATATCGCGCATACTAAATCGCATTTAAACTATATTTAAATTTACTTAAACTATAAAATCTAAGAATTTGATATATCTGGATGTTCAAGCATCACGAAACTTTAGCTATAACTTATGAATTATTAAAAATTAAAGAAGTTGACTTTTGACTTGTAAATCAATTATTTTAATCAAATTTTTATTTTAGATTTTGTGTTACTCTGTTTCAATATCAAAAAGAAAGAATTATATACGAAAAAATAATATATTAATAATATTTTATATTAAATTTTTAATAAAGGAAAATATTGGTTTAAAACAGAAATTTAAGACAAAATAAATGTGAGATAGCATATATACGTCTTCTTTTTTTCTGTTGATTCATAGCATCTCATAGATATATGACACGTGGGAATCAGACAGATGTCTACAAAAAGAAGCTTACCTTCGAACAACTTCGATCATCTGTGTGCTGTTGAAGAAAAATCTGTATTTGTAAAATGTGGATACTTTGCATAGCTTACTCACTTAAATTTTTCTTACGTAGCTTCTTTATTTCTTGACTACTTCTTCCTGCATGACTGGTATTTCCAATCCAACATATTTAGCATCATCATTGTAACTTAGCGTATGCCGTTACTCTTCATTTGCAATTTTATATTCTATTCGATTTAACATGTTCGTTTATAAAAGATTGTTTCTGCGAAAGAATAATTGAAGTCCTATAGGAATATTAAGTTCTTGTCAATCTTGTGACAAAGAATAAAAATCAGAATTTTGTTTTTTTTAAATTGAATAATTAATTAATTAGTTTCTCTTTTCGTACATTGAATTAAATCAAAACAAAATAATCTTATTTTTTAAATTGATTTTATCTTACGTTCTGTTACAAATCTTTAAAAAGTATTACATTTTATATAAGCATTATAATACTTTCTACATAAATTATTATAGAATATTATTATATTTTTAATAATTATTTATTAAATGTGATATGCAGTATATTTCGTTAATTTTCAACATTAGTTTATATCGAAAAATTTTCCAAGTCTTAGTTGTGTTTTTAGTTCTGTTGATCATGACTCATTATTTGATTATCTGATTCTACTATATCGAAAGCAATTACCTAGAATGTAGTAAAGTATTTATCTGTGTATTTATCTATCTTATTCCTCTATCTTATTTTTTTCCATTGTTTTTTTTTTTAGAACCGGTCTTTCTATAAAATTGAAGGAAATCGGTCATTTCAGACTATTTACTTTTAAATAAATCTCATTAAGTCTTATTGTTAAGAAGCAATTCACTATTTTTTTGACAACTTAACAATGTATGATATCATTATTAAGTCATACCTCAAAGACTATATTTGTTTTTAAAGAAAATTGTTTACTTTTTTAAAAATTTGTTTAGAGATAAATAGTAGATTAAATTTCTTCATTATCTTTAAATTTCTATTAAACTTTTATTTCCTCAACAAGTATAATTACGATCTTTTCGTAGTTATACTTGTTTCGACTTGTTCAAAATTGATAAAATGTTTTTAAAACTTAAAAGTTTTTTTTTGCTGTAATGAGAAAGAAAAGAAGAGAGAACACATACACAAACACACAAATTTATACAATTCTTGTATACTATTTGATACGTATATCTAATATATTTTTAAAGTAATAAACTTTGAAACAATTTTAAAAAAATTTCACAACATTTGATTTTAATTTTACGAATCAACTATACGTAATAAAGCATATAGGAAATGTAGTAGCATTCGTCAAACAGGGAACAGCGGTCATCGAGTGATGTCTCAATAATGAATCCCGTCGCTATCGAGTCAATGTTCATTGTACTTTCGTAGCGGTTTTCTAGCAATAAGCTTATGGTCAGCTTTCCCGATAGCAACCCGCGAAACCCACTAGAAACCGGCAGACTTCCTGGATGTTGGAATCCTTGGAACTTTATGACTTTAGTTTCTACGGTGGTCTTCAACTTTATCTTCCTTTACACGCGAGAACCGCTAGAAGCGTAAATTCTCGAGATAGCGTGTTTAAATATATTTCTAAACTGAAATTTTATTAAACTGTAATCGATATATCCTTTTGCTCCGTCATCAATTTGTTCTCCCGAAGCGGAATGGAATGCAATGAAAGACCTGCATCTTCAGTTTTAATCGAAATACGTTTTAGAAGAACGTAAATGTTTCTGTAGTATATACTTCTAAATTTTTGAAGTATCCAACTATGCTATATATTCGCATTATTTTATTTTAAAAAATACCTTTTATTTTTAAACCAAGATTTCTGCTTGATTGATATGAATCTGATTAGGAAGGTGTGTATGGAGTTTGAGATGAGAAAATGAAGTTCTATAATTCCCTAGCTTCGGAAGCTATTTATACCTTTGCAAATTGTGATAATTTGGATTGCCGTGTTCAACATTCGGTTCGAAGCTAGTAAAGGACAGGCATCGCAATTACGGGATTAGATCGCGAGAGGAAGACGCCGCGAGGATCACTAAGACCTCCAACTGCGTGAAGCAAGAATAATCGGCGTTCCGTAAGGTTTACGTTCCGATGATTCTGTCGAGAACACTGTCGACTTCTTTGTGGCAAAGGGGGATATCTTCGATCACGCTTTCTTCTTATGTGACGGCGCTGTCATGGTCGAGTGCCGACGGTAACGACGTTCGAGATTTCTTCGTTTCTCAGGACGGTCGCGGAACGTCATCAGAAACATTTGTCAAGTGGTTTCTCGCGTTGTAACAAGCCGGAAAAAAAAGAGAAAAATTGTATTCCGTGCGAGCGATTTTAATCTCGAAGAGATTATTCTCGCGGGATGAATGGAAAATAATCAATCAAGGATAATAATGAAAAATCGGGTTTTCTGCAACGATGAATGAGGCAAGATTGTATCTATAGCAATAGCTTTTTGTCAGCTTCATTATATTACACTTCTAAGATCTGTTGTAATTTTTAACTTGAGTCTTTTAATTTCAATAACATTTTTTAGTGTATAAATAAAATGTAAATCTATTATTTATAAAAAATTATGCGAGAAACCACTGTGATGAATTTTGATCTGCTTGAATTAATATAAAATTATACATATATGAAATATCAAGCAAAGTTTGATGAAAATCTTAAAAACTTATCATTATATACTACATTTTTCAATTTATGCAATATAATTTGCGCGAGTAATAAGAGTCTCTGTGAGAATTATCGGATAAACAAGGCGGGGATAATGTTTATCATGCAGGAAATCCCTTTTCCTCATCTGGAGGAAGCGATTGAACTGGTTTATATGTATATCGATTTGAAGCGGAAACCGGTTAGCGAACGCGGCCAAGTTTAAAAGAAAGAAACGAATCAAAATACATACCTACTTTTAGAATCACACAAATAGAGAAATACTTTGAAGTATATCTATCTACGTGCGTTTTTATAATTGCGCGACTTATACATTACTTTTTTCTGAATACAATCGGTTGTAGAACAAAATAGAAACGAACAGAGCGAATTGTGAAAATAAACTTTCAACATTATTTATATTTTATATGATTTTATACGTACATATCGCTGTATGATAGCACTGTAAGATTTGTGCTTTATTAGAACGAGAAGCAACGAGCGAGTTTCAACGCGATGCTCAGCGAACTATATCGATGACATCATATATGTATATGAGTCTCCACATACGAACTGATCATTTAGCAAATGTCGCAACTCAAATTTGCAACGCAGTAATCTCGATCTCAATAATAATCGTGTGCGCAGCCTATTCGATTTTGAGCAAAAATTCCCAAGTGTCATTTACACGGAGAGAATTTTCTCTTAGAATTTACCCTGAAAAGCCAAAGTCAAAGAATTTTATAAGAGCTTCTCTCATTAATATTTACTACAATAAAAATATTAACATGTACAATTAATCGAACATATTTTATATCTTATTGTGATAAATATTAATCACAGAGAAACTGTTATAAAATTTTTCCAGTACCATGTCCCACGATTATCGTGATTTTCAGAGTAAATTCTAAGAGAAAATTCTCTCTGTTTACGTCACTTTTCAAAAATAGTGATTGTATCAAAAATTACATTAAACTTCAATGTCTATTCAAACTTTTCGCAATAGATTGCATCTCGCGCCTTTAAGAGACTTCAAGCGAGACGTTCTTATTCTCAAGCAATTGGCTAATATTTTTTTTTATCTGTTGCCTTACGCAGTGAGCGATTACGTCGTGAGAATCATCGCCGAATAGAACGGGGGCGAACGGGAAAGTTACTACTACTTACGGTAATTTTTCAAGGGGTACATATAATATTTCTCGCGATGTGCAAGATCGACTCTCGCTGTCCGACAAAATCCGGAACACAAAGCTATTTCTTGTAAATCGTCCGCCGTTTTAGAAAGTACCACAAGTGTTTTCTTTGTTCTCGCAAATGCTCGTAACTTTCCGTCGATTTCCGAAGACCCCGCTGACAGATCTTTTGCCTCTTCACGCTTACGAAATGTCACACAGAGAGAATTTTCTCTTAGAATTTACCTTGAAAAAGCATGGTAATCGTGAGACAATTTCTATTATTTCCTATTGAAAGAATTTTATAAGAGTTCTCTGATCAATATTTACTGTAATAAAAATGTTAATATCTCATTGTAGTAAATATTAATAAGAGAAACTCTTATCAAATTCTTTCAATACCATGTTGTCTCACGATTATGCACGATTGTGGAATTGCAGCAGCAGTAATTTTGGCTGATCTAAGAAAAAGAAACGTAATGTACTAGGGGAAGACGAGATCAAATGACGGAATGAGTAAACAAAACAAGCCCTTTCTGTGCGAGCATCGTTTTAATTTATTTTGCAGAATCCCTCTAACGGTCCCATCTTTTTGTCTTTTTCAGGTCGGCGTTGCAGACATTACACAAGGTGTCCGGCAAGGCACGCGAGCAAAACTATTTTCTAGGTGGACTGTCTCACGACTGGGTTAGCTACTATGAGCAACGCATCGAGAGCGATCGGTCGTGCCTCAACGAATGGCATGCCATGGACAATCTGGAGTCTAAGAGACCACCGTCACCGGACAGCGTGCGCACCAAGTGAGTCGATGGCAGACAGCCAAATAAATAGATGAAAATCCCGCGTTTCTTGGAAGAAATCGCGTGTTGCGGCTTCGTGTAGACATTCGATTTAGCTGGCGTCCCCGAAATCGATTCACGATGAACATATAAGACGACTCTTCTTTTCCCTTCTATCTTCCTCCCGGTCGAGAAACAGCTGGCCAGCGTGAATTTAACTTGGTGCCATGCCAGACTTGCTAGTTTTGTTGATGTCCTCTCTGCGGCTGTCTATGCGCCGCTTCGGGTCGCGTGCAATATAAGTGGAGCGTAACTTTATAGCTGTCCTTCAATTATTTCCAGTTTCTACCTCCGCCCGTCCTTTCGCGGACTCAGCTAAACATTTCGAGGTATTAGGTCATCCCGACTGTTGGATTCCAGTGTTATGAAATCTTCGAAATTATAGAGTACACGGGATGATATATGCATATTCGCAAGACTTCCGTTATGGTCTAATTCGCGGTTTCTTTATTTACGAGTCCTTTTTTAGAACTTGTATATCGTAAATAATTCTGTAAATTTTCCATCTATCATCTATATAGAATTGTGAAATAATTGTAAAATGGCTAGAAATCTGCAGCAATGCCTAACGTTTAGGAAAAATGATTTATACTACTTTGTATTAACGTAGAAATAAAATAATCATCATTTATCGATAGGCGATCATTTATTGTACATCTAATATATTTTGTCCGTATGATTAATTTGTTGATACCAACGATGTTTATTTTAATATAGACCCAGGGAGAGAGAGGAGACCGAGCGCGTGATTCGATCGACGTTGAAGGAGATTATGATGTCTGTCGATCTCGATGAAGTTACCTCCAAGTATATCAGAGGTCGACTTGAAGAGGATCTTGACATGGACCTCGGAGAATTCAAGCCATTTATCGATCAAGAGATGCTCACTATACTAGGGCAAATGGACGCGCCAACTGAGATATTTGATCATGTTTATCTCGGGAGCGAGTGGAACGCGAGCAATTTAGAGGAACTTCAGAAAAATGGGTACGTTTGCAAGATATCTTTTGCAAATACGATCGCAAGATATCTTCTGCATATTTTCGTATCATGCAAATTTTATACTCACTTCTAGTCTTGTGTGACGCGTTACATTTCTGATAGTTTATTCATAATTCAGTCAGCGATCGATTTTCCATATAAATAGAATTTATTAATTGAAACTGAGTTCTACTTTCAAGTATTATATATAGAATATTTTCTTGATAGAACCTTTATATAATATATTATAAATAGAAATAATTTGCATAATTATTATATAAATAGATATAATATAGATATAATATATTCATCATATGTAATTTATATATAAAGAAATAATTGTGTTATTTGGCATCTCCAATACTCTCTCTTGAGAGAATTTTAATTATTATCTTTTAATTTCAGTGTAAGGCATATCTTGAACGTTACTCGGGAAATTGACAACTTCTTTCCGGGCATGTTCACTTATCTAAATGTACGTGTTTACGACGATGAGAAGACGGATTTACTGAAGCACTGGGACAACACATTTAAATATATCACTAAGGCAAAAATGGAGGGATCTAAGGTGTTGGTGCATTGCAAGATGGGTGTGTCCCGGTCTGCCTCCGTGGTGATAGCTTACGCGATGAAGGCATATAACTGGGATTTCTCGCAAGCGTGGAAACACGTTAAGGAGAAACGCAATTGCATCAAGCCTAACAACAGCTTCCTTTTACAATTAGAAACGTATCAAGGTATTTTGGATGCGATGAAGAACAAGGAGAAACTCCAGAGGTCCAAGTCCGACACGAATCTGAAATCTCCCACGACCACGAAAGATCAGTCAAAAAAGGAGGAGAAATCGGATAATATAGAGAACAATATGCGGGAACTTTCGGGTTCAGAGTTGAAGAAGAGTAATCAGAGACCAAAGAGTTGGTCACCGAATGTCAAAGTCGTTGAAAATATGTTACCTTCCGGTAAGCAGTGTTTCCTATATTGATATATTTATTTAATCACTTGCGTTTCCTTAAACGAACATTTTTTTCAACGACGTCGCGATTATCTTATCAAAAATTTGATAATCCGTTTAATCATATTAGCTTGTTATCGAATATGATATCGTTGATTCATCGACGATAGTTGTGAATGATGAATATAAATATTACAATATGTTTTTTTATTTGATTTTTTAAACAAATTTTTATACAAATTAATTGCAATATATCGAAAAGAAAGAGAAATTGCGACGTGTAATTTATAATTGAGATAAAATGCAGTTAGTTAAAGGATATATATTTTTATTTATACAAAAACAAATTTTTTTATATTGTTTGTCATCTTGGAATGTTGCAGTTCCTTTGTCGCAGTCATTGGAAAGTATCGACAAGACAGGAAATGCGGAAGTAACACGAGAGGATCTGCTTCGTGGCTCGAATCAAAAGCCGGCAATAGAACAGGAAGCCCGTAATGTTCTAATGCCATGCAACAACGGGCAATCTTACAGCGTGTCGCAGAACAAGATAATGCACCTACCCGCCCCTACTTCTGGCACAACACCACCTAGCGTAAAGAATAGGATTAATAAATTGGAAACTCAGGGACAGAAGAGGAAGGGTTTGGTACTCAATTTAACCAATCAATTTGAAGCGGCCAGCAGTAAACCGTCATCACCGGGATCCGACTCGGACGCGAGATCTCTTCCTCAGAACTCTAATGCGGAGGACAACGCGAAACCGATCGAGAATGGCCACTCGCATTGTGAGCAATCGCAGGAGACGCGAGAAACCGCGGCTTCCGTCACGAGCGGAGGGCCTTCCAGAGAAGAAGTTTGGGATCCCGGTGAAGGACAAAAGGAAAGGAAAGAAGAAAACCAAGAATCCACCGAGGTCAATAGTGAATGTCTAGTCTGGACTGCGTCTGCGGATGCAACTTGTGCTGATTCGTGTAATGACAATAAAACTGTCAGAGGTGTGAGTGTGGAGAGTGAATGTATCGCGAGTGCGGTAACGGATACGACGACGTCGTCGACGTGTCCCGATAGCCTGGGAAAGAAGACGAAGAAAGACGGTGATCCGTTTAGCGCTCAGTTGGATCGAGTGTTCGATCGTGAGGAGAGACGGGGTGAGCTTCCCGTCACGAGGGAATCCCCGAGCAGGCAAAGTTCCTGGAGTAGTTACGATAGTGCGGTGGTTCTCGACAACAATTCAGTGCACAGTTCGTGGGCCACTTTACCGTCGAGGAACAGTTCTTGGGGCTCTTACGATATGCGGCCGTCCGATCTACTCGGCTCCAGCGGTCTATTTCCGTATGACAAGGAAGAGATACCCTGGCATCCGGGCACGGTAAAGCGCACTAAGCAAAAACTGGAGGAGGGCACGACTGTGGGCGGAGTGAAACGCGTATGCACGCAGAATTCGACGTCCGCGGACGACAAGAGCGACAGGCTGGCTGCGGAGGTGGACGCGGTTGCGGTCGAAACGTATAATCCGATGCTGTTGCATCAAATGCCGTCGCCGTCACCGACGCGAAGAAGAGATTCCTCGCCCAGTCAAGAACACAATCTTAAAGTAGAAACGAATAGAGACTCGCCTAGTCCGGTAGGCATCGACATCTCCCTTACGTCCATACGTCAGATCGGAAGATTATCCACCAGCGCTCCCGCGCCGTCCTCTTTGTCCTCCGAGTCCGACCTGCCGTTGTCCTTGAGGTCCTGCAGATCGGAAAGCGAGACGTCCAGTCCGTGCGTCGTCAATACTCCTCAATGTCCTTCCGTGAAACACCACAAAATGGTCTTGGAAAATCTCTGCAACAAGTCCGTGTTCAGTAAGCGCTGCCTCTCCGTGGACGACTCGCCAGAAGCGGAATGTCCGCGTAGCACGTCCGGTATAGTGAAAAATCTGAAGAAAGAGTTTGAGGCAAAGTCTACAAAGTTGGAGAAGAGCCCCGAGAACAACGCGTGCGAGGGCGAGAATGCGTCACTGCCCGCGCGACCCAAAAGGGACGTGAAGATCCGGAGCTTGCCCTCGTCACCGGTGATTCCGCACAACGAGTCTAAGATCCAGTCGTCGCCTAGCGTCGGCGAAACCAAAGACAGCAAGCAGGGAAGAAGGAGCGAGGAGACGCCACCGTTGTCGCAGGATAATACGTCGGAGGATCTCTCTGTTCGAGTACTAGTGGGAAAGTATGAAGTCGCGAGGCCAGAATCCAGGAAGAGCTCGTCGGACGTGCAGTTACGCGCGCACAAAGACAAAGATTGGGACACTATGGAGGTGCATCCGCCAGCGAAATCGAAAATCGCCCCCGAGTTTTCGAGAAGATCGGCGCCGATTATGATCAATAACCACTCGGCGCCTCTGTTTAGCGAGACACCGGAAGCACCAGGTAGGCCGCCGGCGGTGCCGTCGCCCAGCGTAGTCGTGGCCAGCGTGGTGGCGAAGGCAGCTAGCAAGAAGCAACAACAGCATGGTAGAACTCATCCCCTAGCTAGGCTACAGGTCAGGCCTAGGCATAGCAGTCCTGTTTACAACACCATGTAAAAGTCATTAGGCGACGATTTATTTTGCGTACGTCGAATTCTTAGGCGCAACGCGATAATGCAGCGGATAAGTCGGATGAGGGATTACCTACGTGGGTAATCGTAGCGTGGGTATGTTATATTGTGACGATAAAATCGTGTGATCTCTTTTTATTGGCGACGAAGATTGAGAAATTTCGGAGCTAAGACGGTCGCGCCAGTTGTTCTAAGAGTAGATCTTTTTTTCTCTCTCTCGCTCTCCTCTCTCTTGCATCATCGCTGCGATTACTTGTCTACAACCGTCGTTCCATTTATCGAGAAGAACGATCTTGTCACTTCGGTAATGTAACTTATTATTTATAAGACGATAATTTCACGTAAGCGTTCTCGGATCTTTTACTACGAAACAACGACAGGCGCTTTATGTTCCTCCTCGTCAACATATATCTAGATATATATACACACACACGCACATATATATATCTTGACTTGACGTTAGTTCAATTATTTTAAGCTGGAAATGCAACAATCACGAGGCTGCGCGTCGAGAAGGGGGTCAACGTTAAATTAAGGAAGAGAGATAATCGTTATTCCTATATCACTTCGTCGTAAGTTAGTGGGCTCGGAATCAAATGTGCGTTAATAATGAAAAGTGTAATCGTGCGGATGACTTAACGCAAAAGTCGGAGCGGGTTTTCGTCCGCAAAAGAAGAGAAAAAGAGCCGAGTGCTCAGTCAGGCTGTGAATGTAAGGTCTGAGCCTCAGGCGCACGCTGACCTTTCTTCTGCTTCGCTTTCTTGATCTTTTCTTTCTTTCTTTTTTTTTTTTTTTTTTTTTTTACGAATTTAAAGTTACTTCGTGAGACGATAAATCTCTGATCTGCGAAGCGATTTTGTCGCGACGTGTATGGAATAAAAATTATATACGACGAGACCTCGAGAGATAATGTAATATTAAGCCACACTATTAGTAATTTATAGATAATAATGTGATTAGAGAGTGTGGATGCGCATTGTGTGCGAAAACACACGATGTAGCAAGATGCACATGATGATGTATGAAGTGTTTTTTTTTGTTGAGCGACTGTTTTTTCGGAAGCACGAAAAAAGGGGGTACCAAAATTCACGAGTTTTCTTTTAATCGTTTCCGAAACCCCAAAAAATGATTCCTCCTGATCTTTTGTCAACGGCCATATTTTGCATGATCGTGAAACTGTGCGAAATTTAATATAGTCAAACGAAGAGATAGCAATGTTGTAATAAGTGGATTTCTAGAGAGATTTCTCTTAAAGCGTAAAGTAATAATTAAGAGGATTACGTACCATTACTTTATCTCCAGAAATGTGTGATATATGTTGCAACACGAAGATTTCGATTTTAATAAAAGATCAGATCTTACTAGTTTTTCATCGACCTGCCGTCTCACATTTAAATTACGACCTTTATACGCGAATTTGAATATCTACGACGTCTATTCGTGATTCGTTAAAGAGTTTTAGGTTGAAATAATAAAAGCTTGTTCTCTCGCGAATTAGGTACCTCTTCTCATTTATTAATTGTTATTAACTCTTGCTCTTTGTACCCTCCCACTATTATAAATTATCTTCATCTCGATTAATTCCGAGGTCGATTGATCGTGTAAACGCTTTTGCAACAGTTGACGATGCAGCAACGGATAGTGCATCGAAAAATGTCTCTATTAACTCTCGTAAGTCGGAAAAAGTACAATGAAATGGCAAGGAAGGATACGTTGATTGATTTATACATGGGTGCATGCATGTACTACATTATATACTTTCCCATCGATCGACTTGGAGCGATTATTATATATCTGTGTGTAAGCGTCACAATATTTTTTTAAACACATATCATCGAATCGTCGTTAATTTTGTAAATCACACACACACATACATTTCTACCGCGTCGCGCGAAATTTAGTTAGACAAAAGGAAAAAAATCCATATTTGTCGCGCATGTGACGACCAATTTTATACTCTGATGTACTTTGACGAATGCGACTGCTGCTAAGAGACGCTTCGCGATTGCGCGTCGCAATTTTATCGTAATATAAAAGTATATATTTTATTACAAATGTCACGCGTTTCAACCAAATTAGGCTCGTTGATCGATTCAGATTTTGTAGATACGGGCGAAAGATATGTGGAACATGTAGTTTTCCGAATAGGTCTGTTGGATCATACCTAGAGATTAACTATTACTCTACTTACGCAAGTTAAGTACAATCGGATGCGATTTAGAAAAAAAAGAAAAGAAGGATCTGTTTTTTTTCTCTGCGATACCTCGCCAGAGACGACCGCGTCCTCTTTTTTTTTCTTTTAAGTGAAAATTGCGATTAAGCGAAAATAAAATTTCTCAGAGTCTCGAATGAATCTAGCGAGAATTTAGTCAAATTTAGAATTTATATTCGAATCTTTTGTGTATATATATATATATAAATATTTTTTTTAGTTTTTCCTTTTTATCAGCTGAATGCGCAAGACTTCAATGATTGTGGTGTGGAATCCAGATGAATGTCCGACGATAGTAATCGTCTCAAGTGTTGTGATGCAGGACGTGTCGTCGTCTTCGGCGCGAGTATTAAAACGATGCGCTTTCTGCTCTCTCAGCGTGTTTGTATGCGAGCGATCTTTTTCTACACTGAATCGCTTCAACAACCGATGGATTTGCTCGTGTCAAGTAAGTTTGTATTGTCACAAATCGATGTGCTCAGTTTTAGTGATTATCCTTACCCTGTTCCTTCGACCGCTCCCTTTCCCTATCCCAAATCCTTGTCTCTTAAGTCTTGCTTAAGTGTGTGCGTTCGCTCGATATGAGAACTTGCTGTCATATGAGAAATGATAAAAACCGTACGTTGTTCTGTATAAATTTTGTACTATAGTTTGTATCAAATAAAATACATTGTTTATTGCTTGAGAGTGCATCTGCTACTTTCTTCGGTTAATGCATGTTTAGCGAATACAAACGAAGGAAATAATTGATTCTGTTTTAAACGTTATTATTGTTTCTTTCTCCGTATATTTCTTGTTATTTTATTTCATCTTTAATAGTGCGTTATGTACATTATTTATAGTGCGTTATATGTATGTTATAGTAATATCATATTTCGAATTAGCTCGTTCATAAAGAGGAGAAAATATTAGATAGCACTTATCAAGCGAACAAAAAGATTATTATGCGTGTTTATATAGAATATAAAACAGCATCATTCCGCTTTAAAAATTTGTTTAGAAAACTATTTTTTCTCTATGATTATACATGTATATCAAAAGATAATCGTTTATCAAAATCTTATGTTGACTAGATTTTTACAAATGTTATGTTATATAATAATTGGAATAATTATTGATCAGCTGTGCTTAGAAACATATGATGGGATAGATAATACTCCGTTTTCAAGCTTCAAAGTACAAACTGAATATTGCGTAAATTGCAAAATAATGTATATATTTGCATATCAAAAAAGTCACAAAATCGGATGGCCTTCACCAGGTTGAGCTTCTATTTCAAAAATCCTTGTTCCAGCACAAAACGCAAGCTTTGGAAGAGGTGTTCGTTTAGCATACCTCGTTTCAAACGGACCGATGGCCAAGCTATACACGCCACCCTTGAGATATTTGATCATAGCCATTGTCTACATAGCAAAATACATTACAATACATTACAAGTTTATATCATCTTGGAATAAGAACAATCAATTTTGCTATAAAAAACAATTATATTATAATGCGAATATATTAATAGATGACTGTTTTGTATTTTTTGTTATGACCTAGATTGAGATATAACTTGAATAGAATATTTAATTAAAATGTCTATTTTAATTTTAATTATTAAATGTAATTATTAATTTAAATTCTTCTTTAATTAAAATCTAAAGTTAAAATTAAGCTTTCAACAATCTAGCACGATATCATAATCCTTCTTGTTTTAAGATGTCTCATCCTTATCCATCTATCTCTCGTATTATGGATGGTATTTGTTCAGCACATGGCGATAAAAAAGCAATAATTTATAAGTAATATGTTACAATGAAATGGCATAAAATATCAAACTTACCGAATGAGATCGCAAATCGACGATTCTGAAGAGATCAGTGTCGCAGCCACCGCAAGCGACATACAAATTTGTCACGTACTTTCCGGTGTATAACAAACAAGGATAACTGTCTGGTTCCAAGTTAACAATCAGTTTGCCACTGCCGTAGTCCCATAGTTGCAAAGGATTATTCTTTCGCCAGGAACAAGTAAGGATCTGTTACAAAGGGAGAGTCGTTTAATTCTACAGATGTTATAAAAAAATTTATGCTACATAAATATTCACATATGATATAATAAAGCTGCTGTAATTGGTACGTAATTATTAATGTATAATTATATAAAATTTATTAATGCAAAATATATCAATAATTTGATATAAATTTATTGACTTTTTTACAGAGTATACATCAGAGAAAGAAACATGTAATAAATCAACGAGTCGCTGAATATACCTCTCTTCCATTTGTACTAATGTCCAGACCATCTCCACACATATGTACACCAGATATAAATCGAAGGGAATGAGCTTGTCTGGTGTCCCAGAACTGAACGGTGTCGTCCCAACCGGCGCTTATTATCTCGTGCACGGATTTAGGATGGAAGCAGGCACTGAAGACTCTGGATTTATGGCCATCCATGATATCCGGTGAATCACTACATACGAAACGTAAAATATCTCGGTTAATTTATAAGATAACATTTTTTATTCGTCATTATTTTATAGCGAAATCTCTCTTCTTTTGATAAAAAGTTTGTTAGAATATTTTTTATCAGAGAGATAATTACCTTCCGTGAAACACTCTTTCCTGCGTTTTCGTTTCTTCATCGTACAAGTACAGATTAGTATCATCTCCGACAGTAACGAATTTCGGTAATCGAGGATGATAAGCTAAACCAAGTGTCTGTCGTCTTTCTCGTATAGTGTAAATGCATTGTGCGGTAGGATAATGCCAACATTTAACGCAGCCATTGGCATCTATATATTTAATATAAAACTTATAATTGTATTCTTCTCTAACGCAAGCAACCAATCACAATTATGTAAATTTAAATTCTTTATAAGACGAAAATCAAATACTATGTAAAATACTTACAAGTTGCTATTACGGTATGCGAGACGGGATATGATTTGTGCACCGGTCGATGCTTTATAGTAGTTACTGGAGCTGGATTCTGCATCATCTCCGCATCGCACAGAGTAAAAAAATTTGTTTTATCTGAATTAACTTTATAGAACTTTAGATTACCATCCGACAATCCTGCCGCCAAAAAATCGTGTAGTTCCGTATAGCAGATGCAAAATACATCTTGATTAACTTCCCTGCAAACTGTTTACTTTGCAATTTATTTTGTAAGAGAGAAAAAGAAAATATTTAAGCTATATATCTAACAAAAAGACTTGTTTAAAATTAAGTAAAAAAAAATTTTTTGTTATATAATCTCATAAATGGATAACGTTATTATTGATTTATATATGTGATTGAATATTACACATGATTTTTTAGTTCAGAAATTCAAACATTTTTAGGATTAATATGACGCTAATAAATAATATTTTTGTTCAAATAGGTATTACGTACAATTGATTGATAATACTGATATTGCCGACCAATTGATAGTGATGCTCCAGATCAGAATGTGTACCGGGGACAGCGGCGGAAGTTTCTATTAAAGCTGATGTAGGAGAATATCCTTCGGTGACGGTGGATGTCACCGAAGGTGATGGTGTCACATCGAAATCAACATTGTCTTGGTCAGATGAATCGATGGTTGCGAGAGAAAGTTGCTCCTTAATACTGTCCTTATCCATCTAAAAAATCACGGAAATAAAGTCACAAATGATTTTTTATTGAGACGTTATATAACTAAAATAAAAAGAAAAAATGAAATAAAAAATGCACAGATAGAGAAACTATAATTTTCCTCATTAGAAATTATTTTATTCAAAATAAAGTTTAAACGAATTTATATACACCTATATATATATATATGTATAACAAAGTAAAATATTGCTATTAACAAATAATTACGTTTTAACCTTCTTGAATATTTTAACTGGAAATCTGAATGAAGAGAAAGAGAGTTTTAATATCGTTTATACAGACAAAATTTTATAATACGTCATATTTGTAATGTTTTTACAAGTTCAAAATTTGCTAGTCATTATTGACAGAATAGAAAATTATTTTGATTTCTTAGGAAACTGAAATTTGAACATTCTTTAACATTTTAATGTGTCAAAATTTCAAGACGACGATCGCAAGCTGATATTAATAATTATATACAATATAATTTTTTTGTTCTAATTTACCGAGTATCATCCGCGTGAAAAAAGTTTTATAGCTAAACATCCTACGTATTGACAATTATTTATTTAATTAGAATCGCAAATATATTTTATTCGACATCGCGTTCAATTTTTTTGATGATAAATATCATTCGGAATAAAAACGCACATAGTAAAACGATCGAGTTGTATGATCGAATAATTACATAAATAACAAATCATTTTTTTAAATAATTTATTTATACTTTATATATAATATATTTTATACTTTAAAATGTTTTATCATTTAATCTTCTGTACATATTTATGTATATGCAAAATATTTCGGCAATATTTAGAATCAAATATATTTTGTTCGACTCTATATTGTTTGATTTTTCGACGATCTGAATATATGTATATAATTCAAATTAAGAAAGAACAAAAAAAGCAATCAAATAGCAGAATATAATAATTAAATTTTATCTCATTTATTAATTAAAACCCCATCATTTAAGTCTATTAAAATTGGCCCAGCCAATCTGAAGTTCGATAATTTATAAGATACTTTGAGCGGTTCGCGTATATAAATATACGGTCCGTCTCGTTGTTGTGAAATTTTACACACTACCGTGGTTCTTAATTATTATCAAGTTACTATATATCAATATCTTATAATATTATTAGTAATTTAATATTCATATAATAGAGAAATTTAATAATATATAATATATAAACTATCTTTCTAAAATCGACGTGCATTATGCGCTCACAAATTTGCAGAAGTTAATCTATATTTTATATCATACTCTTTATTATAGTTATCTTATAAATATTATTATTAATAATTTAATATTAATGATAGAGTAATTTTTGATAGTATATATAATACAGTTCATATAATATGAACTATTTTTGTAATATCGGCAGGTATTATACACTCACAAATTTGCGGAAGCTAATCTATTTTATTATGCTCTTTTATATAATAATCGATCGTGATTCAATATATAGATCTCGATTATTAGCATTTTGATGCACATTCTAAATACGTGACTTCAAGAGCGACACTTTTCGCGAATCTGCAACAGTAGTTTCGATTTTTGGGGCAAGGGTGAGGGGGAGGGGATGCAATATAGAAAAAGTATTCCAACACAGAGTGTTTATCCTGCTAATAATTATCAATCCTATAAGTTCTGTATTGTTTACACATAAATTATAGAATAATATCTAAACGTTTCTCTTTCGATGTTCTGTGAAATTGTACAATAGAGTTACAAATAAAGATAAAGCCATACTTTTACGTATTACAATCTGATATTGTCTTTGCTAATGTTACGTAATAACGTGCGAAAGAACTAATTAGATTGCTATTTGCGAGTTTTTAATCAAGATACTCGGAAGAGCATGAAATTGTTCAGCTAACTTTATAGCAAGATATATTGGTCTTCTGTTATTTTTTCTTTCCTTTTTTTATGAAATCGTCAAATTATAATTATGGTACAACATTTCTACATCACCACAGCATCTAATCTTACTTATCATAATACTCCTGAGAAACTGTTAATCCATCGTCTTAATAAACTCGATCGCGGAGCAAAATTGCGTCCACCAATATTGTTCTTCACCCTCCAATCGATTCCCATAGAAGCTGTCCACGTATTGGACAGTCGATAGCAATGACGGTGGATTAGTCTAAAATTAAACGCGAGTTAATTATTTTCCTAATTAATAGAAAAACCCGGTTTTTCCGTTATATTTGCCTGATTATGACACATACCTTGATTATGACATAAACTAGAACTGGAATCAGGTCATCGGCAGCGGGTATCCCTCTTTCCGATGCCATAGAGAGAAGATTCATGATGGTAGTCGCGCAACGAAATACACACTGCAGCTTATCCCTAGGAGTCTTATACGCCGATATCACAGCCAATTCAGCCTGCGCCCATGGCCAGGGGCATTCATAATGATAAACCTTTGGAATGCGCAAGTCCTTGTGATTTGGACTTACGACCTTCGCCAACTTTTTGATGTGATCGTGAAGAAGCTGGTCCCTATATACATCTCCGTCTCCGTTTGGATAGAGCGCATTGTGGTACACCCGTGCCATGACGGTTCTTTCCACTACAACCCTCGCCAGATCTAACTGATTAGCGCTCGCCGCTAAAATATATGTGAAATTTAAATACTCTTAATTGACCAAAATATTAATCAATTACAATTAGATACGTACATTGCCATATTGGATCGTTGTCCATTTCGGCATGGACCTTTCCCAGAAAATTATCTACAAGATCTTGTTTCTCATCGGCTAATGTAAGCTTTTTAAATTCGTCGCAGAAACGTAAGAGAAAAGCATCTCTCTTCTCCAAAAATACTCTCACACAAACGGATACGAGATGATTATTGATAGCATCCCGATCGCACTTAACTCGCACGCATAATCTAGAAGACGTATGATTATTAAGCAATCGTATCTTATATTAACTATACAAATATTACAAAGTAATATCTATATAAACACCTATCGAGATGAGCTAATGTCGACAGCAATCCTTGACGACATCTGATTAAATACGCAATGTAAGGAGATCGCTTTTGATAGTCCTCTCGAAGCGATTTGAAGAGCTTTCTACATCCATCGTCATTAAATAGACGTACGCAACGTAAAGTCTCATGAAGATGTGCTATCAATGCTCTATCCTGCAAGTTTATAGCTTCTGCCAATTGTAGTTGCAGAAACGCAACCAATTCGTTTTCTTTCTGTGACCAACACTGTCTCTGTGAGAACATTTATATAACATTTCATTTATTATTATGAAAAGGAGACGAATATGAAAATATCTGAACATTAATAAATTTGTAAAAAAGATTTATCAGATACACTGTATATGTTATGTAAATTAATGTAATGAACATACCTCAGAAGTATTCCATGGAATGTGTTGAAGGTCAGCGGTACTAAGTACCATACGTAATTTTCTTTTAGCATCCACAAAAGCATAAGATAGCTCAACATTATTTGGATCGATTGAAAGTCTTTCATCTTCTACCTCTTTTGTACGAGATTGATTGCTCTCGACAGAAGCTGTGTCACTAGCGACACTTGGTTTTCTTCTGTATTTTGCTAATATGTCATCGATAGTGTCTGAAATTATATAATAGAATTTATTAGATTCAACATAATGAGTTACATCTTTTTCTTGCATTATTTTTTAATTTATATAAAATTTAATTATGCAATATCTCAAATTTATTAAAATTGAGAAATATAAAAATTGCAATTTTAATATCATATATTATATATGTATAATTGCAAAGAGATTTAGTGATTTATTAAAATCTTACCGCCTGCAACGTTTCCAGATGATGTCACATCCTCCGACATAATTCTGCGTATTCTATGTGTGCATATGTCCACGCCATCACCAGCAGCTTCTCGATCGTAGCATCTGTCATCCGTTCCGCGAATTGCTTTACCCCTACGATTTCTGAGCGACAACTTTAATTTCCCAAAGAAACCACGTTTGTTCTTTTGATCATCGTCCAATAATTCTTTATCGCCACGTTCTGCAGTCATATCAAAACTTATGCTCTTTGGAATCGCTCCGGTTGATGCATTTGGCTTAGAAAAGTTAGGACTCGAGTTGTCTATCGTGTCACAATTGCCGTTAATTGCTGGCGTTGGTAATGGTAAATCTGATGCCGAAATGTTACTCTTGATACGTGGTTCCGATCCAGAACTGCTACTAGATGTTAAACTAGCCGTGCTTAATCGACCTACCGCATCTCCAACTGACACCATACAGCTGTCCAACTCCTAATTTACAATATTCGCAAAATTAAATCCGTGCGTGCACATAAAATTTACAAGAAAGTATCAAGAATTGTGGCCAAAAAAGAATTAAGCGAAGAAATTGCAAACCTCTGTTTTCGCGTCGCCATTCTGGGATTTTTCTGGCAAAACAGGCGCAGAAATATGATTAGCTAACAGCAATGCTGGTGCAACTGCGGCTGCAGCGATGTGATTGTGCGCAGTTGTCTGACGTTCGACTTGCTTACCATTGTCAATGTGAAGTTTATCTATCAAGTTGGCCAGCCTGTCTTCCCGTAATGGTTTACCGTATTCCGTATTACTTATATTATTAGCATTTTTATCTACATATTCCATTGTACTACGTCGATAGTCAGACTTGGTTCCACCACGACCTGTTACATTGGATGACGAAGGTAATGGAGACGTTGTCGGTGATGGATGAATTATCACTGATGTCCCTATACCATCTTCTCGAATTCCTGACAGTGATGAAAAATTGATACCTGAAGCATCTGGACCTGAAATCATTCAGTGTATATCATGTGTCTGTGATTGGAGAAATTATTTAATAATATAAGTTTGCTATACTTACACGGAGTTGCGGATTGAAGCGTTTCTTCATTTCCTTCAGAATCGGCGCGACTTTCTATCTCGATCTCAGATCTAGCCGTATCGTCAGATCTGTTGGATGTCGCATAATTAATAAATAATAATATATATATATATATATTCTTATTTTTTAATAAAAAAAATTTAAGAAAATATCTTACTTTAAAATTAAAGATATGAATGTATAATATGTAAAATAATATTACCTAGCAACGCTAGCAGTATCATCGGTATCTACTTCAGTCAATCTTTCCGAATCACTGGCCAATACATCCGTGCTCCAGGCTTCAGAAGCGGTTTCACTAATGTCTAACATGGTTGGCGTAGGCTCAGCAGGTAGAATAGGTACAACTTGTTCAGGAGGAACAAGAAACGATATTCGATCTTGTTGTTCAACTATTTCACTATCTGAGGCCAAAACATCCGTAGACCAAGTATCGGATACCATAGAAACAGTCTCATCTCCTAAAAAAATAGATAAAAAGAGTACTATATGTTTATATATATAATTTTATTAAATTAATAAATATAAAAATAATATTAACAATCTTGCTATTTTTTGAATAAATATTGCTCAAATAATATATTATGCATATCTGTATTTTTGCGTGTCAATGTTTATACTTCTCTTACCTTCAATAAGTTTTTTAATCTCAAATTTACAAAATTTGTCATCAATTTCAGATCGACTTTGCTTAGTTGGGATATTAGGTGGCGGCAAGTCTAATTGCCTCACTTCACCTACAGCACGTCCATCATCTCCTTCAGTGATTTGGGATGACGGTGTATCTCGACCTGATTATAAACAAAATGTGTGAAAATATAGAAAATCTCTT